TCCCTCCTGGACCACCTCAGCTTCTCGCAGGCAGAGGCCTGGGAGATGAGCATCACTGGAGGCCACAGGACTCGGTCAGAGGCTGGCTACAGCATCTGCAAAAGCAGAGGCACCGATGTGCTCCCTGTGCAGCCAAGCATGGCCTTTCGGGGGGCCATTATGAAAGACTTTGCTGGGCCTTTCCCTTGTGAAAACCTGACAGGCTGCGCTTTTCCCCGGGGTGGCGGGGCTGGCCAGAACATGCAGCCTCAGCATGACTTTGGAGGAGCGTTTCAGGGCTCTCGGTCCTGCTCTGTGTGTCCCATCCCCAGGCGCTCAGCTGGAGGCGAGGCAGGGGCTGCTGAATTCTCTCACTCGCTGAGCTGACAGCCTGGGTCCTCCAACCCCAGCCAAATATCCTCAGTGCATGGGGCAAGGAGGAGGAAAAAGGTGAGTCGGGTTTACTCGTTTCATTTCAAGCTGCTGAGATGCATTCTGATTTCCAAATCCATCCAACCCTTCTCTCTTGAGCTCCCGAGATACTTAAGTGGGCTTGAGCATCTTGATCCAGAAGGTTAATGCTGCTTTGCATTCTGCTAAGCCCCACCTTACCCCAAAATGGTCTCTGAGGTAGTGTCTTTGCAACCGCATGCCTGTTTGGGAGGTCTGTATGGCATCCCATGGCATTTCGTGGGAATCTGCCTTGCTTTTTACCTGATGCCAGTCCCTCCTCCTCCCCTCCCTCAGTCAACTCTGATGTGAAGTGCCAGTTGCTCTCCTGCCACTGTGAGGCACTGCGAGATTCCTTGGTGGCTTCTGGAGTGACAGATGCTCTGGGAATGGGAGAAGGACACAGAGTTTGGGGGAACTGCACTGTTCTGGACTGGCTAAAGATCCATCCTGCCTTACCAAAGCTGGAGTAGTTCCGCAGAGCTCCCTGTCCTGCATCCCTGGAACTTGTTCTGTGAAAGGACCACCCTTCCCTGCACCCTGCAGGCAAGTCAGAGCTTTCCCCTATAGTCCATTCTCCTCCAGTGCTGACTGGAGCTGGGATACTCTGATACTCCACAGGTCTGGCTTCTCAGCAAGGCTCTTTGCTCCTTCTTGTATTGCCCTTTTCTCAGTTCATACCTTTCCTTAGCACATACAAGGCATCTGTGGCTGTCATCTCAGTGACTTGCTGTTACTTTCCCAGCACCCCCTGGTAGCAAGGAGTGGACTATGGTTCCCATTTTACACACAAGGGTAGAGCAGCAGAGGCTTACGTTGCTCCCAGCAATACACCGTGGGCTCATGGCAGAGCAGCTCTCCCAGTGGTAGTTCTGGAGCTGCTGGGGTTTTTGTTTGTTTCTTTGCTTTTCAGATCATTCCTTCCTTAGGCTGTGTCATACAATATAAAATTAACATGGCCCCAGATGTTCTCTGCTGTGGTGCTACAGGCAGCTGTGGTGCCTGGTATCTGATCTACCTTCTATATTTTATTATAAGGAGCAACCCACTGCTTATACCCTCTTCATCCACGCCACCATCTCCTTGATGTTCCTGTCCCTCTGAAACCAGTTATATTGGTGACTGTGTCCTCTTTTGTTTTCATTTCTCTGTGTGCTAATTCCTCTTTGTCTCTCAAGCTCTCCAGCCCTGCCTTCATCATTGTTTGCTGTTCTGCATTGCTGTGTGCATTGTATCCCTTGATCTCTTTCTGGTACAGAGCTTCCCAGAACGAGCTGGGGTTGTTGATCAGGTGAGAGCTCACCATAATGAGAGCTCTCCAAGCCCTTCCAGCACTATGGCTTTCTAGCCAGCTCCCCTTTTATTTACAGTCTTTTCCACTGCACTTGACAAAGTCTTGCGCAGTCTTTTCAGGGACCATGGGCAGATTTCACGTCATTTGCCAAACAGCATAAAGATTGAGTCTGGAAGGGCAGGATGCAAAGGTGATTGACAGTTTCTTCTCTAGCTGCTCTGAGCCTCCCTGGAAACGTGATTTGCAGGTTGTCTTCCTGGCCCTCGAGTGCAGCAGACCGATGATATTTGCGTTAACCCCTGTTGGCCTGGCCAACAATGTCTATAAAATAGCGATGGCTCCTCTCAACGTGGTGCTCTGACAGTACCCCAGCTCCCTGCAGTGCCAGTGGTGGCAGCAATATGGGTTGATACAATTTTTTTGTTGCTGCTGCTTTGGACCAAGGAAATCTTGCTGGATAATTTAAGCAACTTCGGCAGCCTGAAAATCTCAGCCAGTACTACCCCCAGGTATGTGTCCAGCAAAACGTTTACAGAAGTTTTTTGTTACTTTCCCATCAAGACTACTGATGGCAACACCTCCCCACCTAGTATCCTCTCCAGGCTTAACTAGCAGGTGGCGTGCTTCTCCTCCAAGCGTGGAGGGGAACTTCTGATTTTGCCAGATAGAGAAGTTAGGTTTTAGCAACAGCAGCTCCTATTGCTCCTCCTAAACACTGTTCCCCTTATGCAGCCTGCGCACGTTTCCTTGCTCTTGGCATCTTTCTCCTGAGAGTGGCATGACCCACCTGGTGATCAGGGGCTGGGAGGCAAGGACAGAGCAGTCTAAAGCTGTAGTTTTCCCTTGCACTGAGCAGAAGCTCAAGTACGCCTGCTGGAGCAGGGACACCTCTTCATGTAAACATCTTTGGTGTTGACTGCAGGTGACAATGCCTTTAGCACATTCTTGGCTTCCCATCATAACTTGACGTCTGAATCTGGGCCCTGAAGAGGTAAAGGCTAGTGAATCATATAGACATGACTGAATCCGGAATGTTTTTGGGTTTAATTTTTGGAGCACTGAGTGCATATTACTGCCAGTGGTCATAATTCTTTGTGTTCCAGTTGAATGGGTCATGGGTCATCACCTGTGAGTTGACAATCTTTTGAATCTTGGATACTTCAAAGCATGATGTGGAAGATGACTTTGAAATCTCAGCTGATAGAGTCCTTAAGTCTTTCAGTTTGGGGCAGCTTCGTAAGGCACCTGTGAAAATCTGTGCTACTTTATTTCACCTTCTCTGTTCTCTTTCCAATTTCATTCCTAGTGGATGATCTTGGAGGAGATTTTCATCTTCCTTCCCTGCGAGATGCTCATTCCCTGGCTATGCAATGATCATCATTGTACCTGTTTGTGGGGATGAACCCTCTGAATCATTAGGGTGCTGAATTCTTCCATCAGGCTTTTCAATCTTATTGTCCGCATCCTTTCACTGTCACAGGAACGCATAGGTATGGCTGATGGCGCTAATAGCCCCCAAGTGGGGTTTGGGTTTCTGTGGGGCTGGGTGCCATGTATGCATAGACTGAGAATCAGCTCCTTTCCCACAGAAAGCGTCTGCTCCTCAGGTAAACTATGGCTGCTGTATATGGGCAAGAGGCAAGGAAGCACAGGATTATAATTAGAGAGTTGTGTCTGTTGTAGCGACCTGGGACGCAGCTCCAAGAGAAGTCAACATGAGCTGCTGAGGTTCATGGGCTTCGGATGAATGCCATGACTGTTCTATACCCCACCTGAAAGCAGTGGGTACTCTTCCAAATTTTTAACAAAAGCTTTCAGTCAAGGTTACCCGAAAGCAAGTACTGGGTTGTCTGGTTTCTGGGTCTGTTGGTGTCCCCACCATGTCTCTTTTGTGATTCCTTGTGCTTGCTGCTATGTCTTCATTGCTGGTGTCATCTTTTCCCAAGGGGGATATCCACAGGCAAGTTCTGAGAATTACCTCTATAAAAGAGATACAGATGATCTTCTTTCTTGCAAAGCATAAATACCACAGTCCTCAGCCAGAGTCATCTTCCTGGAGGCCTCTTTTACCAAAAAATTCCCAGTCAGCATGTGAGGATTCACTAGAGGAAAGCCTGAACTCAGGGCTATAACTAGGGCCTGTACACACCTAACCTGGCATTTACTTTCTAGTGCCATTGAAGATCATGAAAGTTTCCAAGTTCGTTTCTGTCCCCAGTGCACCGTTAACTCATGCCTACTTGCCCCACAGGGGAGAGCTGGGCTCTTTCCCCAGCAATTTGCCCCCTACACCCATTGCAAGTTGATGTTGCTTTCCACAGACTCCCTGCCTGGTGTTTCTCATAGAGTCTGTATAGGTTGGAGGTTAAATCCAGACTCCTGGATGCTGCTCTCAGCTCTGCCATAAACTGCTTGTCACCCTTGGAAATCTACCTCGGCTACCGAGGTGTGCACCGTAGGTATAAAGTTGCCCAGAGGTTTTATGAAATGCGGTTTGCAGGGTATAGCAGCTTATGTTCAAGGGAGAATGGTGGTGAGTCACACTTCTGCAGCTAGTAGGAAGCGTCTGAAACATCCAGGAGGGGGTTTCGTTGTTATTGCAGTGTCTGAGGCCAGAGAGGTTCTGCAAATCGGTCATATGTTAGGTGCTTTTTCAAGGTTTGCTCTTCTGTATGAATCTGTGGGGATAGTGACTGATTTTAAAATGAGTCTTAAAATCTAAAACCAATGGGGAACTGGTCATGAGCTGCTTCATAACTTTCAAGTCAGCATCATGGGGCTGGGTGAGATCTTCAAGGTGTCCAGCATAAGGACTTTGCTGTCAGCAAGGCCAAAGGGAGACCTGAACCAAACGCCCTGCTCCAGCATCCCTCCCTTCTCCCCTTCTAGGTTCGGCCAGTTTTGTGAGCTTTGCTCAGCTCTGTTGTCTCTTGCAAAGGCCAGATCCTGCTGCATTTGCATGCATTTTCATCCCTCTTCATGCCCTATAAATCGGCTATGACCAGTGACTACTTGGCTCCTCCGAGAGACCGCAGAGGTGCTGGGAGACACGAGGCAGAGGTGTGCTGGTCCAAGGCTTGCACTGCATTTGGCAGCAGGCGGGGAAGCCAAGGGAGAAGATGAAGGTGGGAAGTCACGGTCAGATCAGCAGACGGGGAAGGCTGCTGTTATACAGTGGGACGGGAGTGAGGAGGGTTCATGCAAGTTTAAGGGGCCAGAAGAGGATGTTAAATCAGCCGAGACTGGCTTTTAGCAGATAAAAGATTAGGTCTGGAATGTAGAACAACAAAAAGGAGGTGACAAAAGGAAGAGGGAGCAGGAGATGATAGGAAGTAAAGCCTGGATTATTCTGAATGAAAGAACAGGGAGACAGTGCCTTGCGCATGTCTCAGATCTCTGATTCCAGACAAGTTTCTGGCAGAGTATCTATTTTCTGGGTACAAGATAAGCTTGATTAGAGCCATTTGGCTGGACTGGATGGTGTTGTCAAGCATACCAGCGATTCCTATCCACGGGTTTACATGTAAGAATAAGGAGCTGCTTTCATGATTGATCCAATTGGCTGAAATCTGCAAATTTATACCAAGGAAAGAGTTTCCCCTGGGGAACTGGGAAGAAGTTCCCTTCCCCCAGGGGACTGAAGGTGGATCAGCTGACCTATGCACAGATGGGCGCCCTTCCCTCTCAGTGTCTGAGCTTGCAGGGCAAACCAACCGTTGAAAGCCCTCTGTCTTTCTGCCAAACTTCCTGACCTTTCCCTCCTAGAGAAAGAGTTAATTTTCAGATCCAATTTTCTTCTTATCCCCAGCTTCCTAGTGTAATGCTGCTATGACCCTATTGGGGTCTTTGCTCCATTTTAGTTCTAGGACCAGATGGTGGAACCCAGGTTAAATTCCAGAGGTCCCAGGAGGACATGTGGGAACACACAGACCAGGGCAGACCTAAACACATGATCCAGAGGGAGAGGGATGTGGTTTTTTACTAGCTGCCAGAGGGGCCAGGATTTCCTTCTGACCTGTGTGGAGAGGGAACACATGAAGCAGCCTTGAAGCTCAACTGGGCCCAGCAACGCCTGCCTCTGCCGTGGGCACAACTTGCAATGAGTTGTTGGCCTTGGAGTTTCCTTCCATAAATGGTGCAGGAGCTGAGCAGACAGGGGGATCAAAAAGATCCTGGGAATGTGAGCCTTTGGGCAGATTTTAAGTCAGCGATGGAGCTGAAGGTGAAGCCCAGGCTTCAGTGGGATGGTAGGTTAGATCCTTTTCTAGCCAACTTCTGCTCAGAAAGTGAGCAGAAGAGAAGCCTAACCCTGGGCTTGAGCTGTCCCCCTGAAGAACTGTAAGATCATCTACCACCTCTAGGTGAAAAGAATGCAAAAGAGATTTAGTGAGGAGTGGTGAGATAGGAAAGCAAGACCCTTGATTATTCGGGGTAGGAGGAAAGAGGGAAGCTGTTCCCTGGTGGACTGCAGAGCTGTTAACCACAGGGCTATATGGAAGCAGTCGCTTTATACAATTTTGACGATCCTGCGCTATAACAGATGGCACTATGCTGAAGAACCAACCCTTGTGACAAGTCTTGTAAGGGGGAGCCTCCTCCCTTGTCAGAGATGAAGAGCTGAAATGATTTGCCCCATGTTGCTTCGGAAGCCTGTGGTAGCTTGGGCACTCTCACATTGATTTTTATTGCCCCAATCCGTGCTCTCTGTGGGCTCCTTTCTGGCTTATACAGCTTTGGAGGAAGGCCTGCCTTTGTGTTGCTCTGCCTGAAACTTTGCTGCAGGCTCACTTGCTCTAACTGCTCCAACACTCTCTTTTCTTCTCCAGCCATTCTGTGTTTCCTGGTGAGTGCTCTGGGGATAACAGCTGGATCTCACCGCCTCTGGAGCCATCGGTCCTACAAAGCCACGCTGCCCCTGCGGATCTTCTTGACTATTGCAAACTCTATGGCCTTCCAGGTAAGCACCTCCTCAATGTGCCACTGGTTCTCAGAAGGAACTGCTCCCCTGAATCCCTGTCTCAGATACGGGGCGCAAGCTGATGGAGAGGTTCCTCTTTCCTACTACCTCTTGTTAGGAAACAACCCGCCCTTTCCATCTAACACTGTGGCGTTAGAGTCCGTCTCATTGTCTTCACCTTGTCTCTTCAGAGGGCGACTCTGAGACAACCGGGCGGGGAGAGGACTGTTGGCCAAGACTAGGGGTAGGGCGGGGAGAGGACTGTTGGCCAAGACTAGGGGTAGGAAAGCTCTCCAAAGCAGGAGTGTACCCTTCCCTCGAGGTGTGGTCTCCCTATGCTTGCTCCAGGTCCTGTGAAAGAGGTGTGGAAGTGTTAAGTGCTCTCCTGGTGTTCAAGTTGCCTCACCCTCCTTGCTGCACGGCCGATAAGGGGGGAGACATCTGCACAGCCCGGGGAGCCAGGCTGTGGCATTTGCTGCTGCAGAAAGACCAAGAACTTGTTGAAATTATGCAGTTAGGGGGGATGCTTTTCTGGTTCGGAAGAGTGATATTTAGGAATAACCTTGTTACAAGTCACACCACTGGCTTCCAGAGAGTCATCCCAGATCAGCGATGTTTCAAGGAGAGAAGGGTTGGGCCCATTCAGAGTGGCACAAGTGACTGCAGGCAGCTGATAAGCACCTCAGTATATTGCCTAACCACTCACGAGAGTACTTCACGGTCCACAAAGCAAGCAAACCGGAAAGTCCTTAGGGACTGTAGAAAGTAGCAGAGATGGCCCTATAGAAGAAGTTAGAGTGAAAACCCAGATTGGCATGGCACAGAAAAATCCTGGTGGTCTCTCGTGTTTGCTGCTTTGAGGCAGCTCTAATGGCACTCTGTCCTCCAGCTGTACTTGAAGGGACTTCATGCAGGCTTGCTTGTGTGTAGGAAGTACTTGGGAGGGTGGCAGGGTGCAGCACTTTCTGCTAGAAGAAGGTAAACAGAAAAGTATCAGTGCTGTGCCCCTAAGTAATTCTCCAGCTGAGGTATGGGGGAAGGGTAAAGCCCAAGTGGACCAAGTATTTCAGAGATGTTACCTCCCTTTCCCCCCTGTGTAGCCATAGAGGATATCACTTCATGACATGTAATCACAACAGGGTGGGGATGGTTTTTTTCAGCCTTTCGAAAACACGGTTCACTTTCCTATTCTCTGTCAGTACCAAATCAGTCTTTCATGAGGAAGAGGAAGGACCAAGCTGCTGATTCCAGCTACTGGTCCAGCACTCAGCAAGGGAACGGGATGGGTTGCTGTGTATTGGCTAGTCCCACACAAAGACCATCTTTCACAGGGTTATAGGGCAGAGGGGGAAAGAATTTGCTGAGCTATTGCTGTAGGGGATAGGAATAGACAAAGATGAGAGACAGACAGATATTTCAGCTTCAATAGGAACTAATCCAAAGTTCTACTGAAAATTCAGTACCATTCCCCATGGATTTTTTTTTTTTTTTAATAGTTACTTTCAATGGGATCAAGAGAAGGTTTATTTAGTGGCAGCAGCTCTAAGATCAGACTGGTAACTCTTAAGGCCAGAGAAGACTATGGATTATCTTATTTGAGGTCCTCCAGAAAATGCCTGTTGGCTGCTCGGGGACCTATGGCTTGTGATTTCAGGGAATTTGGGAATTCTGTCCCTAGTCAGCTCCTCCACCTGCAAGACCAGGCAGCTGCAGCACAGCAGAAGCTCTCCTGGTTATAGCCTGTAGCTGGAAACTCTCAAGGAAGGAGGCGTTCTCCTAGGCTTTGCTTGCTGGTCTCAGAAAGCCATGATTTTCAGACAAGGTTGCAGTTTAGAGGTGGTCCCAAAATAAGATCTGTGCTAAAGTTTGGGTCAAGATTCTGTCTCCTCAACTTTGAGACCCCCGATTTGTGTTTCTGCACAGGGTGTGGTGGATGAGGTGCTCCAGCTGGGGTACATGGTCTCTTTCCAAACTTGTGCCTCCTACCTCCAGCAGAAGGATTTCTGGGAGAGAGGGAAAGCCTCCCCAGATGTGTAAACCCAAGCTCTCTGTCAGCTTTCAGGCTGGCATTTCTCATGTTACATGATGCTGTGTAGGTTCTGGGATGTGAGAGAGACTTTGGGTCACAGGTGAAACATTTCCAATATAGGTCCTGGCTGTGCTTCTTTGCTTACTGGATAGGGAAGGCTGCTGGGCCACCCTCTTCTGAGGGGATGCTGAGTGACCAAGCTCCAGCTAACATCAGCGAGGGCTGGTGATACCTGGAGGTGCTCAGGATTTGGCTGGAAGGAAGGCAGCAGTTCCCGGTATTTGGAAACAAGTAAGACTTGAATCCTGGCCCATGTCTATCATTGCCGTATTGCGTGACCCACAGATAAATCATTTTATCTCAGTTGAAGGAGGAGTGGTTACAACGCTTGAGAGGGACTTGAGGAGTTGTGTCTCTGCTACAGGCTCCCTGTGTGGATAAGTAACTTGATCTTTCCAGGCAAGAAATAGGGATGATTATGCCGCTTCCCTGCCTTCAAAGTGTTTTGAGGAAAAGTTCTATGTACTTATGAGATTAAGGAGCGTCTTGTGTAATACAGGCAATAGAGGCATGCTTGAATCTCTTTCATGTTTTCTAGGATGGTGTAATACATGGCTTTAAGCACATCAAAATCTCGGTGTAAAGGAATGAGTACAGGCTTATTAAAATCTATTCTTAAAACTGGCCAAAACAATCATTTCTTAATACAAATTATGAAAGCTTTGACATTTTCCAAACAGTATTGATTTTGCAGCTTAAATGGGGCTGTTATGGGGGGTATTTTTTTACAGTTGTCATTGAAATGGTGTGTTTATTCTATTTCTAAAGAGGGGCCTTCATTTTAAGACCATTTGATTTCCAAGGAAAAAAAAAAGTTAAAAAAAACTTGCCCCCAAGTTAAACAGATCTGATTTGGCAATCCCAGGAAAAGCAAGGCAGGTTGACCCATGGAAAATGTCAGGGCGCAGGGAAGGGGCAGGTTGATCAATCCCAGCTGGCACTGTGTAGGGACGGGGACAAGTGACCAACAAGAGTCGAGTGTGTGAGGGAGGAGGCACTGACTGGCCAATGAGGGCTGGCTATTGCAGGGGTGGGGGAACAGGCTGACCAATGAGAGCCTGTGATGCTGTAGCGGGTGTGCAAACCAAAGCCTAAAGGTAACCAATTAAAAAAAAGAGAAAAGGCGGCCCACCAAAGAAGCAGATTTCAAAGAAAATTGGAGAGGTTGAGCAAAGAAGATCCAACCTCTATTTTAAAAGCTAAAACCCCCAAACTCTAAAGAAAGATAAAATGACTGATACCTGTTCAGGTCAATGGGATTTAGGTGTCTAAATGTTTTAGACCCTTTTGTTAATTTGAAGGGAACATCTCCAGCCCTGTCCCTAAGTCTCCGCTCCTGTTGCCTTGCAGAATGACATCTACGAGTGGGTCCGGGACCACCGCGTCCATCACAAGTTCTCCGAGACAGACGCAGACCCTCACAACGCCATGCGGGGCTTCTTCTTCTCCCACATTGGCTGGCTGCTGGTGCGCAAGCACCCAGACGTCATAGAGAAGGGCCAGAAGCTGGACCTGAGTGACATAAAGGCTGACAAAGTGGTGATGTTCCAGCGGAGGTGAGTTGTGGGGTCAGCCCGAGCACAGAGCCATGTGGGATGGAGCAGGGACTCCACAAATGGGCTGGGGACCCCAAGCGCCTTTAATGGAGCATGAGGGGATTGAGGGCATCATGTGAGAAATGTGAGTCTTCGGTCTATCCGAGACTTTGCTGTAGGATGAACCCTGTGAGAAATGAGCTGTGCCTCTCCTATAGGAAGTATTTAGGAGCTAGTGCTACCTCCAGCCCTCCCACACCCCTTTCTTGCCCGCCTACCATGTAGCATCTTGCCAGCGGCAGGCTGAGCTCCCCACTGCAAAGCACCTCCACGCCTGCCTGCTCACAGTCCAGCTGCTGCTTTGGCTAGCCCAGAGCCTGCCCGTGGGTGCCTCAAGGCCATCCTTGGAGATGTTGTGGTACACCTCCCAGGCCATGCCTCTGCCCCTCTCCCATCAGTCTGCTGGAAACAGTGTGGTGAAAGAGGTGTTGAAAATGGGGACGTGAGAGAGGCAGTCACCGGGAGGGACAGTCTTGATTCACTGGTGCCTCTTGGATGGGGTATCTCTCAGCTGTCTGTGGCTATAATGGGACTGATCCCCAGAGGAGGTGAACCTGTCACCAGGGCTGCGGGGATGGGGGACTGAACCCACATAGTAACCGCCCTCACTTGGAGAACTGAGCCATAAATCAAGCAAGGTTTATGGCTTTTTTTGCCTGGGGTTTTTCTTGTGGGTCATCAGAGCGGGTCAGCTTTCTCTGCTCCCACCCCTCCAGTGTGAGGGACCTCACATGCTTATCTGTTTGATGGTGCAAGTGTCCCTTGCTTGCACTTGTTGGTGGGGTGTATTGGTAGGCAGGGCCAAGTCTGCAAGGAGGAGTTGCAGCACTGGACCAGAGCTGGAGAAGGAACCTTCTGTGGGACTCTGCAAGCATGGGGTTGCCTTTATGGGGAGCAACATAGCTGAGAAGCAAATGGAAGATGAGGCCAAAAGCAGCAGGTGGTGTCTGGACTCAAGGTGATAGGGACATTACTTTGTGGACATGCGAGATTGAGGCAGGGAGAGCGGGACTTTAGTTTGAGTCTCCTGCCTGGTGATAGGACTTGCGAGTCTCCAGGAATGGCTTCTGCACATCCAGGGCAAATGACGCAGGGCTCAGGGGCGAGGTATTTCTGTGCTTGATTTTCCCTGTATAGCTGAGTGTGAATCCTCCAAAGGGAGGACTGAACCAGCCCTTCCTGTCCTGCCTCCGCCACTGAGCGCTTTCCTCCTGGTCCCTTCCTTTCTAGATACTACAAGCCCTCGGTGGTGTTGCTGTGCTTCACGCTGCCCACTGTAGTGCCCTGGTACTTCTGGGATGAATCCATCGTCATCAGCTTCTTCATTCCAGCCATCCTGCGCTACACCATAGGGCTCAATGCCACTTGGCTAGTGAACAGTGCTGCTCACATGTTTGGCAACCGGCCGTATGATCAGCACATCAACCCACGGGAGAACCCCCTGGTCAGCCTGGGGGCCCTAGGTACGTTCAGCATCCGTGTCTTTCGCTGCCGGTAGACTGTAGAGTGGGACTGCCTCTTAGGGCTGCAGCTTCTGGGAATTTCTGTGAATCCAGGTGTCCTCATTTCCCCCTGCACCCTTCCGCTCCAGCCTTTGCATCTGGGGGTGCTTCCCAGGCTGGCCAGTGAGTACATAAGGGCAGTGAGGTTATCAGCTCCCACCAGCCTCTGTCCAGGCTGGAAAGGACTCTGCTGCACTTAGCAGCACCTCCTTATCTCAATAGCAATATTTTATTTACCCTGCTCGAAGGTCTCTCTGCCCCGTTCACCACACTGAAAAACGCGTGCTGCAGTCTCTGCTTACCTGTCTTAGATTTGTCAACTTGAAAACCGGCAGATGTACATTTGGACATGTTCTCGGGGCAGCTGGTTTTGGGGGTACTCGAGGATGAGACAAGCCAGATCATCTCGTGTGTTTCCCTGAAATTTTGGGTACCTAGGAAAGTACATCCCAGGGTCAGTATTTGCTCTGGTCTGTTCTCCCAAGCCCAAATCCTCGGCTGGTTTGCATCAGTGTACACCACTGGGGCTGCACTGATTTCCACCACTGAAGGACCTGCTCCTGGATTTTTAGTAGGGAGGGATTTGAACTGTAGAGACTCGGGGGATATGAGCAGGAGTCCAGGTGATGTCATTGAAGGGGTGAGCACTGAAGCCACCCTTGGCAGTCTCTGGAGGAGAGGGTGGCTGACTGGGGTAGATCACTTAGAAGTCTGTCTGTTTTATTGTCATCTGTAAATGCCCTTTGGATTTGGCATTAGGACTGCCAGTGTTATAGGGATATTGATTGGCCTGGCTTGTTGGGGACTGGCTGCAGGTCTAGCTGGTAGCTCAACCAATACTAGAAGGTTTCTCATGGTGGCAGAGGAAAAGCTGTTAGGATTCCCCTGGTGTTTTGGTGCAGTCTGTGAGCCAGAGCCTTTCCCGGTTCCTTGTCACACACCTGTTTTCCTCTGAAGCACCATAGGTCGTCTATGACTGTCATTGCCTCATTTGGGCCAGCCCGGGCATGCTGGACCATGCCCAAATGAGATGGGGTAGATTGTAGAGAGGTGAAATTGGGCTGAGAGGAGAGAGGAGCCTGGACTCAGTCCAGACGCTGGTTCAGGAATGTAGTGCTTTAGGCCAAGAGAAAGGGGCCATCACTTAGAGCTCTGCAACATCCTCCCCCTGGTTGTGTTTTGCAGGAGAAGGCTTCCACAACTACCACCACACCTTCCCCTACGACTACTCCACCAGTGAGTTTGGCTGGCGCTTCAACATAACCACAGCCTTCATCGACCTCATGTGCCTCCTGGGGCTGGCCAGCGATCGCAAGAAGGTCTCCAAGGAGGTCATCCTGGCTCGGAAAATGCGGACTGGAGATGGGAGTCACAAGAGTGGTTGAGTTTCTGCTCCCCTTCACACACACATCCACACCTCTCCTTCCTCCTTTTTTCTCCCTTTCTCCCTTCCTGACCCCTCCGAACACGCTGGACAAAGGTTTAATGTTCTGTTTACTAACTACTGAATAATGCTACCAGTTTGCTTAAGATAATGATAATGAGTTTTAACCCGCCTCCCACGCTGTATTTTACATGATGTACTTAAGATCTAGGACTCTGCCTTTATAACGTAAGGCCACCCCTTTCCCTCCTCTCCTTTTCCTTTCCGTTCTTTCTCTCTAGCCCCTCTACCCCGTCTCCCGCTTTACGTCATCCCGGTCTCTCCCTGGCAGAGGAGCTGGTAGGAAGCAGCCTGGGGAGGCCCATCGCAGCTGGCTATGTACCATGGAGTTAAGGGAAGCCTGTACCAGCCAGCTGAAGAGTTGAGCCAAAGTCAGTGACCCTCTCCCCACCACCTTCCCCCCAAAACTCCTTCCTCTGTCCCCCCTCCTTCCTCAAGGGCTGCTGACACACGTGGCATGGCTAAACTGCTCTCCCCAGGAAAAGCAGCCCCTTCTGTTGCCATCAGAAAGAGTTGTCTCTTTCCAAGCTGTCTCTTTGGAAGTGTTCTCCGCCCCTCCCCACCGCACAGCCTCTCTGGCTGGGGAGAGGGGAGCCCCCAGACTCTCTCAGAGCTCCAGCCAGGTTCATCGGTGGCCGGGGGGGTCTGGTGGTGGCGGCAGCAGGCACTGGAGGGGGAGCCTTGGTGGCCTTATTACCTCCTCCCTCTGGCATCACAGCCTCCCTCCCTGCACTGCCCGCTGTGCCCTGTGCCACCAGGGACTGAAGGCAGAGCATGGCTCTGGGCTCCATGGCCCCTTTGGAGAGCCACATGGAGGAGGGGGACAGACGGAGGGGAGTGCCGCTGGCTGCTGTGGGGTGGCACCAGCCCGGGGTGGTTTTGTTTGCTGCCACCGCCAAGATTTTTGCCGGCAAACAGGACTGCCAAAATGGAGAGGGGGAGAAGGATGTAAACCAAAGCTCCACCACTGAGTTAAGCTGCTTTATGTGCTGGAGGAACAGGGTCCCCACTGGGTGGCAGGCGGATGTCCTGGTGTCTGTGCCCGCCCTGCGGATCCGCATCCTGTGCTGAGCGCAGGGACGGGGCAAGGGAGTGCCTGCCAGCATAGGGAGGGGTGAGGGCGTCCGCAGGAGCAGGCCTCCCTGTCCTCATGGGCGTTGCTCAGTCGATTAACAAGTGCCTGAGAAACACTAATGCGGGGCCAGGGAGCACAGGGGGCTTGAGGGAGTTGAGACCTCTGAGACGAGACACTGCCGCCAGCGTGGGCCACCTCCGGGCTTTCCTGCCCAGGGTCCACCGGGGTGGTTTGCAATTCCCTGCTCCTCTGAGGGACTTGGAGGTACTCCTGAGGGAGCGGGAAGGGGAGGTGAAAGCAGCTCCTTGTTTAGTCCCTTAGCTTGCCTCCCGGCCCCCTCGGCAAGCCATCTTGCCACATCGCTCCTTTGCCGGCACGGCAGGCGGTGAGGGGGGCTGCGGCTGCGGAAAGGTCAGTTATATCACCAAGCCGATGCGGGCACGCAGCTGGAGGGTGTGCTGGAGGAAAAAATTCCTTGTGGGTGTTGTTTCCTGCAAGTTGCAGAGACCAGAGCTTGAGTTCAGGCGGTGGGTTAGGTTCTGGGCATCGTGGCCCTGAGCCCCTCCTCACTAGGCTGAACATGCTTTTTCCCCCCCTTAACTCTCCCCATTATTATTAATTTTTTTTATTATTATTAGTTGTAGCAATAGTATCATTTTTGTTGCTTAAACGCATCAAATGGAGCTGGAGGAAAGCGCGAGAGGTGGCCGGAGCAAGGTGATGCGGGAGTGGGGTTTGCAGCGTCTCCCTTATTCAGGCAGGCCAGGTTGGGCAGAGGCAGTGCGGATGCCCACTTCCTCGCCTCAGCTCTGCCATGTAGCAGCCAGGCAAGCTTCACGGGAGCAAGTCTCTGCAGCTTTGCTTGCTCCTGCTGCCATGAAACTCACCAGGAGCCAGGACAGCTGTGATGCTCTCCTTAACAAGAGAACGCTTGTTACTCAGAAAAGAAGTCCTCCTCTCCTTTCCCCTCCCTGCCACCGCCACGGCCTTGTTATTGCTCAGCAATGGGACCTTTCAAGGTTTTGAGCCACCAGGAGCGATGTGGTCTCCAGCCGAGAGGTACAACAGGGAGGAACGAAGCAGGGAGACCTTCAGCTCACGGTGTCAGGAGACAGCATCCTTACCTCACCGAGGCTCACAACTGCCTGGGGGCTGGCTGGGGCAAAGGGGCTGTGGCTAGAATTGTATCCTACCATTTAAAAAAAAAAAAAACCCTCAAAAAAAAAAAAAAAACCTTTTATCTCTGTGTTACTTTATAGAAGCAAAGTCCTGTCTTAAACTAGTTAAACTGATGGAAGTCCCCAGAGAGGATAAATTTGCTCCAGCCAGTAATTTGAAAGGGATGTGGGGAGGGGAGAAGGTGAGGAGAATGATTTCCTTGCTCCTGGTGCCCTTAACATGTGTGACATACCCTACGGTAGAGAAGCGTGCCGTGACATGCTGCAATATTTCACATCCTCTCAGCAGAGAAGCAGGGTTTGACATCAAGGGTTCTTTTCAAATTTCAAGTGCTGATTCGGGTCCAGAATCTGGAACTGGGGTGGAAGCTGAGGAGCAGTAACCAAACAGTCCTGGTGTTTGCCCATTCACTTTAAAGGTAGATTGGCAAATATCTCTGGGTGCCTTAAATCTTTCTTTAATATACATAGGAGTATTGACAGCTATTTGCTGGGGTGTTGTTTTTTTGTTTTGTTTTGTTTTGCTGAATTATGAACATTTGAGGGGTTTCTTAATTATTTAATTGCCTACATTGAACTGTGGGTGCAGGTGATTTTGAATGTATTTGAGTTAGAATTTTTGTTAGATTAAGAAACAGATACAACACTTAGAACTTTGTTTGAGATATATATATATACACACAACTATAAATATATATATATATATTTTTGGTGGCATGTGTGTATCCTGGACGCGTCATCTGTATGTTTAGCTTAAATGAGTCTGTGAGAGGTGGAAGCAGAGAAGGCAGCAGTGGGACCTCGTGGCTAGAGCAGCCGTTCTCCCGGGACCTGTTCGCAGCTTAGCTACTTGCTCACTGCGTGATTTGGGACAAAGTCACTTAAAAACTCTCCGTGCCTCAGTTTCCCTACCTGTAACGGGGGCTCACGCCTTGCCTCCCAGGGGTGTGGTGAGGCTCGCTGCTGATCGGCCGAGCGTGGAGGAGGGAGGCATAGGTACCACACGCACACCGCTGCTGGCAGAAGCACGGACTGGTTTGTTTTCCAAAACCGTTCCCAGCCCCGCTGGTATTGTGAAGAGCAGACGTCCAAGTGTTGGGTGTTCAGGGAAGGAGTGGAAAGTTGAATCTGCACATTGTCTAAGCTGTCACTGTTGAAATGTGAGTAGGATACAATTTTTCACAGCTTAGGGATTTCTGCATAGTAGTATCTCTGTTTTGTGTACTGGAAAAGAAAAAAAAAAAACCTTTTTGAAATAATTTCGACTAATACAAAAACAGACATCTGGTTGTGCTGATCTGAAATTTTATTTGTTCATAATAAAAATGTTACTTTAAAATTTGTTGGGAGTCGTGACGTGGCGGGCCGGGCTGGGTAAAGCACGTGCTGCCCCACCAGGATGGGGTGCTACGCGTTACCGTTTCCAAACCCTCCTCCCTTCCAGGAGAACCAGGGGGAAAAAAAACACCTCTGGCTCTTTAAGCGCCGTGAATGAGCGGATTATAATGGCTTCCACCCTCCCGGGCGGGCCCGCCCGGCCCCGCCTGCCCCTGCGCCACGGGGTTACTGCAGGTTAATTCCAGCCAGGGCCGTGCGGCTGACGGATATACATGCGGCATAACACGTAACACCGGCCGCCCACCTCCCCGGCCGGGCCCAGCCGCCGCAGCGCCGGGCGGGTTCCTTAGCCGCAGCACGGGGGAATTTTCCTCTTGCAAGAGCGGGCGCCCCTGCTCTCCCCACCCCTTTCACAGCTGGAGGGAAGTGAAAGGAGAAGGGGGAAATCCCGGGACCGAATCTCGCTTTAATTGGTGTTAGCTTCCCCGCTCCCCCGCCCAGCCGCCTTTCAAACATCCGATCCGAGCGGCGAATAAAGCCATCTCTGCGCGGCACCAGCTTGCTCCGTGCAGGAGCAGGCAGAGGGGATGGCCTCCGTTTGCTGCAACTTCACCACCTGCAGCACCGGGGGACCACCGAGGCAGCCCGCGTCCGCCGGCGCAGCCGGCTCCTTGCAGCCGGCTCCTTGCAGCCGGCGTGCTGAATTCCTCGGCAAAACTGGCCCACGCTTTGGTTTCCAGCTGCAGCTTCTGCTGCCAGAAAGCCCTTTGGGTGGGAAGGCCGGAGCCAGCGCGCTGCAAAACAGAGCACAGGGGAGAGCACGGGAGCGTGCGCCTGTGGGAGGGACAGAGGTAGAAGAGGGTTATTTGGGAGGAAGGTCCGGGCTTTTCCGGCAGCTGTGTTCTCCCACCTGGAGACGCGGGACCAGCCCAGGCAATGGGATGCGTGGCTGTCCTGAGCTGCGGAAAAAAGCAAACAAAATGCTCTGGTCGCAGAAGTACGTCCCTGGAAGTGACAGAGGGGTGCGCTTCTGATCCCAGCCAGCACAGCCCCTCCTAAAACAAGTGAAAGAGAAAAGGCAAATCTTCAAACCTCCTGATTATTCAGCCAAGCCTAAAAATAAAGTTAATGACCCCTCTGTCTGGATTTCGTGAGAGTGGAACTCAGATCTCGGCCTCTCCCTCTTCGTTAAAGGCTGCTATTAAATCCCCTGCCCAAAATATGTTTCTCTAGACTATCAAGCCCTTCAGCAGTGCCAGCTCAACATTGTGAGCTCGTTGCCTGGAATTGTTTCACACATGATCATTGCTCCTGGTTTCCTATGTAATCTGTGAATTAGGGTTGCAATTCCGATGTACCCCAACTTTGCTTCTCTGAAGATCTCCCACCCACCAGGGAAGGGGAGGGGAGGGAAGGGAAGGGTTAACGCGCCAGCCAGCTCTGCTGGGAAGGAGAGGACAGGCAAACAAGTGCCTGCTTGTTCAGACACAGCCGAGGGAGCGCAGGGAGGGCTGCGGCCGCGCTGCTGGCTGTCAGCAGCCAGGTGGAGGGTTTGCTGCATCTTCTCACCCTGGACACAACACGCAGGAGATGCCAGTGTGCTCTTGGGGGGGGGGGGAAGACGGGGACCAGGTTCCAGCTGTAACCCCCTCCCCAGAGCCGGGATGCAGTGACCGCAGCTGTGAGGAGCCCAGCATCCCCAGACCAGGGCCCTGGGAGCTGGACTGGGGAGGGTGCCCTGGGAAGGGCAGAGGTCCCACGGGGAGCTGCCCAGCAGCGAGGCTGGGTGCCAGCTCTGGACCAAGCCATGGGCTCCCACCACAGCAGGAAACCAGCAGCTGCTGCCGCCCCTCCAAGAGGCGCCAGGACCCCAGGAAAGGCTGCGGGGTCCGCCTGGGGAGCAGGGGGGGAGCGGGGGCGGGAAGCGAACGAAGTCCCAGGAGAGCACGTGGAGGAGACGGCACCGCAGCGGCCCTGCGTGCCAGATGGATGGAGTGGGTGGCATTTGCTAAATGCCCAGCCAAGTAGCCTCCCTCAGCCCTGCCCGAGAGAAACCCCTTCTCCT